GACTCCAGAAGTATCAAGATTTTAAGGTGTTTGCCAGGGTGTAAGTATGAGCCAGTGTTTAAACAAGCAATGGAAAGAGCATAGCCTCATCACTTCAAAATACCTGGTGCTTTTCATATTTAAATGTATAATCTTAATCTCTGCCATCTATGTTTAAGTTCAGCTGTACTCCAACATGTGGCTGATGGGTGGAGGTGAGGGGGAAACTGTCCAGGAAACGAAAAATACAGGTTTATAGCATGGTTGTAATCCAGATTCACCCGGTTAATAATGAATCCTTATTGTCGTAAGAACACTAGTTACAGCACTTGTGTCAAGCTGAGTTCTGCAGGATCATCTGCATGCTTGCTGCTAGGTATGTGCTTAAGTATTCTGTTGAATTAGGCCCTTTATCTCCTATGCTACTTTTAGATCAAGCATCCCATTTTAGGTAAGTGTCTTGTCATTACCTTCTATTCTTACCTTGGCATATACGAACAACAGAAGCTTGATGTGGTCTCAGTAAAATAGATACCAACTTTAGCCAAATTTAATTGCGTTAAAACTGAGGCACTGCTCAGACTTAATAGCAAAATAAACTTTCTGGTTTCAGGACTGCTGAGAAAACTGTACAATAGGGTGAGATGAGGCCCTGTGGGACCATTTACCCCCAAATGGTGCAAGAGGATTAATCCATTCATTTTGTCTCAAATCCACTGGGAAGCACATGTAGGACTCTGGAGCTGCTTTCTGCTGGAGCCTGTTTTCATAGTGGAAGCCTATACTAAAGCTTGTATCAGAAGTCTATTGGTTACTACTGATCATTGGTTTTGAAAATTTTCCCCTTGTGAAGAGCAGGTTCTTTAAGGACAAAATATGTACGGAGAGCTCCCTGCAGTCAATGTTGTCTTGTGCAGGTGTTAATGCTGACATTAGGCTTGGGGCTTTTCATAAATTCTCAGCAACACATGTTCTGCCATATCTTTCTGATGCAACTGTTAATTTAACAGCTTCCTTTAAGTGCACTGGAGACTGCAGGTTAACTGGATGTCAATCCATAAAACAAATTTTCTTAATGTCAGCAGAGAGTCTTTGTTATCCCTATTAGTCAGACTGTCAAAACCAGATAGGCGTTTCTGTTCATACAGGATCCAGGCCCCAGCCCAGCAAAATCGGTCAACATCCTTCCACTTATTCCCTTGGCTTTTGGGTCTGCTCAGCTCTGGACTGCTCAGAGCACGGAACATTTTGACCCTCCTGGCTAATCTAGAAGCTACATTTTGAAAAGCTCTGTGGAGAGGTAATTCAATGCTTTTTCTGGAGTTTACAGTTATTGAGCAGGTTAATATTGGTAAATATTAAATAAGGTCATCTGGAAGGGATAAGCACTCTAGCTCTTGCCAGAAAACCACTTAAGCACATGCTTAAAGATAAGCACTTGTGATTAGGTAAATGGAATTGCTCGTAGGCTCGGTGTTAGACATTTGTTTGGGGAAACTTATGAAATTCATTGCTTGAAATCCTCATCCTTTTTTCCTTAATGAATGGAAATTAGACTCTAGTATGAGAATAAATTTTTATTAGGTAAAAAACTGAAAACTACTAAAAGGAAAAATAAGGGTGAAAAGGAAATGATCTGATCTGAAAGTCATAAAAATAGAATGAAATTTCATGAAAAAGTCCAAAATATCTTTTGGATCTTCCAATCCACTTTAAAACACTGTCAGGACCCCAGACTGCCTGGTAGTGCTGACTCCGTGCTGGGAAAAGCGGGGTGCCGTGTGTGCCGGCACGCTCCCGTGGCCTCTCCCGAATGGCCGGGTGAGAGCTGTGTGTCGGTGCTCAGGGGCTCGTGGGGCTGGACTGTGCTGCAGGTGGAGAAGATGGTGGTGACAGTAAGATCTTTCTTATTGAACTGGCTGCCTCTCACCCATGTTAAGGCAGAGCACGAGGCTGCTGTGTCCCAATGTGTTTGACCTGTAGCTGTTCTCCTACCAGCTAAGCGGCAGGAGTGCATGAAAGCTTTCTGATGTGAAGAGACGTTCTGGTTTAGCAGAAGGCTAGTTTTTGCCTTTGTTCCTTGGAGAAAGATGCATCAAATGGTAAAACGCTTTGAAAGTTGCTCCTTTCCTTTTAAAAAGGAACATGAAGCAATACTGAAAGCTTGCTGCTCTGCTTAAGTGCATCAATATTAAAAATGGAGCGAAGACTTTTTTCCTGAAAAGTCCAGCACAAGTTGCCTGAGAATTCCCACCACGCTCAGTGGGAACCTACATAATCCTGGCCTTTCACTTGGCAAATGTTGGACTTTTTCATAGGGTGGAGTGTCCTCAGCTGGGGGGACGGCCGGTGCATGCTGGCGTGATCCTGTACAGCAAAACTGGCGTGAAGAGAGGGGAAAAATGATTGGGTCTTGGATGTGAACACTTTTGAACCTTGAAAACGGCTAAGCTCTGCTCTTGCATGTGCTGCTGGGAGGAGGGAAGGGAGCACAGGGAAAGGCTGACCCTGTGCTTGCTCAGGAAGCACTCCCCTCAATAGCAATCTGCAACATTGGGCTTTTAGCAAACTCATTAAAAGCTTGATTTGTGCTACTGCCTGGTGCAGGAGTGCCTCCTGTTTACCTGCCCACAGTGATGGGAAAAGGGCCTGCACTGCTCCCCTGTGTGAGTGAGAATTTGTGTTGGGAGAGAGCTGAAGCATTTGGCAAGTGAATGCATGAAATTTAAGGCTACCTGTAGGCAGCTGCTGCTCATTCTGCGGACGTTTTATATGGTTATTTAGTTGCATGTTGCTCAGTACTGAATGAGTACAACTTGCAGGAATAACCACCGGGATGCAAACGCTGCTCTCCCCAAGACAGAGAAAGGACCTTATCTGAGAAACAGTTGCTTAATGAATAATGCCATAGGCCTCATGCCTGTTTTAAGGGCTATAGTTAATCTCTGATAAAAAGGAGAGAAATGGCCTTGTTCTTAAAAATAAACCTGAAAGCATTTTAAGGACTTCCCCCTCTTTTCGATTCTTTTACCAGGCTGCAAAAATAACATCCAATAATGAAATGAAAACAAGCTGAATAGCTGCATTCAGTGGAGGAGGGAAGAGGTAGTTGCAGACAGCTGGGGCATGTCTGGGCCAGTGTCTCCGTTCTTTTCTTTTTGCTAGTTTAGTGCCACTCCAAGAATGCAGACAATGCTGGCTATGAGTGTTTCATATTTGATTTCCACACTTAAATCTATGCTCGTTAAATGAAACCCCATTGTCAGGCTGGCACGCTTCCACGTGGCCTCTTCTGAGCTTGCTTTCTGCCTTTGGGTGTCCTGCTCATAACCATCCAGTGAGGATCAGTACACAGGAGGATTTTATTGCTTTAGTGGTGCTTGTGGCACTAGCTTCACAACAAAAGCTTTGGCTTTCTTTTGCAGCCATGGCTGTGGCTAACCTTCATAAATCTTTGAGGGCAGACTGCAAAATGCTGCAGGGAAGGGATGGGGTTTTGGAGCAGTCTCAACACTGGTGGATCAATTAAGTGTTCAGCTGGAGCCAGGGCTCTGGGCAAGGTCCTGACACTGCTGCTGGAGGAGAAAACTCGTGGGCTGGCAGGACCTGACTCTGCTGAAGAAGCATCCTCACATGCTTCCCCTTCTGGTCTTGGTGAGGCTGTTGGCATGTTTGCATGTTGTCAGGTCAGGATTGGAGCACTCGGCAGTTGCAGGACTTTGCTCTGGCTCACTTGAGGAGTGCATGAGGTGGTTAAAATGCAGTGGAGAGCAGGAGCCGGGGGCGGAGAATGGCGCTTATTGGAAGCAAAGCAGTGACCGCACTAATAACAAAGGATCATTTCATGTTCTCTGTAAAATACCATGGAGGGCATGAAAATTATGAACAATATTAATGAAGCTTAGGGGAATTACAAAATTCAACAGCTGTCCAGTCCTTTAGACTGCAAGCTCTAGGTCTTTCCATCTTCCCTATGAAGTGTTATCACAGTCTGATACTTGCTCGTTAAACTCGTAGATCACTTGTATGATATGACTGATCATTCAGTAAATGCCTCCGGTAGTTCCTAGTCTCTTTTAGCACAAGAAGAGGGAGAAGTCACGTAATGAGGTGGTGGTACACTGGGCTAACAGGCTGGAGCAGGAAGAAACACCCTTTTTGACACCAGATTTTTCAAATGCCTGTAGGAGTCCATTTCTGTACTTTTCTCGTGGAAATGCTGCTTTAGTGAATTCAAGACTGGCTCTAAACAAAGGTTAAAGGGAAGAAAAAACCTGGAGACTGAAAGCTGAAATTTTCCTTCATGTAATAAAGTCTGTGATTGTCTGAACTGACAGGGAGCACCCCAAGCCATGTGGGGCTGAGGCAGATCAGGGCTGGCAAGGCATGATGTACCTCATACCAGGAGCGCGTGTGGTTAGGGCCCTGGCGCAGGTCCTGGTTGCCCAAAGGCCTGGCCCTTGTTCTGATGCTGCTTGTACCTTAACCTCAAGTCCTCCCACACTTTCAAGGTGCTGCTGCCTAATAAAGCTCTGCATGGAGCAGGGATGGTACGTGCTTAATGGTGATTATTTTTGATACCTCTTTTGCCGTTCAGGTAACGGGTCTGTCTGTGCAAGTTTTAACGGGTCCTTATGTTATTGCCGGGGAGGAGTTCAGTCATAAGGAAGAATAGAAAGGAAAATACTCAAGTTCTGCTTTCTTTCATGTCAAAAAAAAACTAATTTTCATAAAATTTTGATCAGGCCTTAAATTCATAGGCCCTAACTAGGTGTGCTAAAGGTATGTCTTTAGTTGAAAAGGCCCTGGGAGGTAAAGGATATAAAGGGCCAAATTATTGTCACAAAGTAGTTTAAAGATGAACTGATTTTTCATGGCTTCAGGGGAGCTCCTAATGCGCAAGTGCGGTGTGAGTGCATCAGGGATCTGCCTGTCCTTAAGAGCTCAGCCATACTTCTGGGCACGCTTGAGCATGAGAGGTGGCATCAGCCTTCTCCATGTACACTGATCTGATCTGAAAGTCAGATGTTCAAATGTCCAAACCGAAGCAGCCTCAGCGCAAGCTTGATCACAAAAGACAGAGACGCGCAGAGTATGGCAAAACTCGAGCACAGGTCTAGTATTTGTAGAGCCAGGTGGTACCTCTCATAATGCAGTGGGTCTTTGCAAAGGCTTGGGAAGTCGGCATAGGAAAAGGGGAACAGCACCACGTAACCCAGGTAGTTGGTCCCAGCAATCCCAGCAAATGAGTAGTAGCAGTACGGCCCAAGGAGGAGAGATGTAACGGCGACAGCAAACTGCACAGAGGCACCTGTGATACTCAGGATGCCGAGGGCGAAACTAGCTTCCCACTGAAATTGGGATAAAAACATTTTATCACATTTTTGACCTGCTGAGAGAATTTTTTTCTAAAACAGTTGTAAACTAAAAAGCTAAAGTATTTTTGGTCTTCATTGCCAACTTGGAAAAAGCCTTGTCTTTTTATGTTCAATCCACTCTATTCTGTCACCAGAGAGAAATGGTAGAAGGAAATTAGCAACATTTCATATGAAATGTTGTTAAATTGTAGATTTTTACAGGGAGGACATTCAGTGAGACCATATTTTACTAAAAATACTAGAAGAATAAATCAAACAGGTACGTTTATGCAGTTGTCACATTAAGAATAGCCTTTAAAAAAATTTAAATTGTGTACTTGAATGCTAACAAAATTCCTCATTATAGAACAAAAAATATGATGGAAATGGGTTAAACTACCATGCTAGTATGATATTAATATGCACCCTTTGTAAGCCCTATGCAGCTTATTTCATCTGCCACTTCAGTAGGAAAAGTACTTTCCCCGCTGAATGCACCTAGATTAATTCTGCAGCTCCCTCACCTCCTCCTGCATCTGACACCCTCTTCAACAAGAGTGCAAATTTACCAGAGATCTGCGTGTTCGTCCTCTGGCAGCCAAAAGGAGAAGGACACCAGCAGTAACAGCCTGTGGATGAGGGGAAATGGGTGTTAGTGCAGCGGCTGGTGACGGGTCAGTAACCATTTGGGCAGCGTGGTGCTGTGGCCTGGCACAACCTCCCTCCCCACGCAACTGCTCACCACTGCCAGGAGCCATCTGGCCACTGATGGGCTTTGAAGGGCGGATTGAACTTGCTGTGTGGAAGCAAGAGTTGGGTGACAGGATTTTGCACATGACAGGGAAGACCTTGTTGTGTGTGGGCTTCTTGTTCTGCTCTGCTTTTCCGTGCTGGAGGAGACCTTGGAAGAACTTTTAGGAATAATTTAAACTTCCTTTGATCCAGCAACTTGGCAGCTAAAGATCTGTTGCTATTAGAGCAGGAACTAAGGAGCTGCTGTATGCTAGTGTCTTGGGAAGGGGGATAGACTATTCTCCTGTACCCATTTGAGATGATTTGTCCTCCTTTCTCCCTAGGCCAGTGTATACAGGGAGGAGAAGACTGGGGAGATTAGCTAGGCAGTGACTGGAAGAGTGGGTGGAAAAATGCAGGTAGGAAAAAGGATTCTCATTGCACTGATCTGGTTCCTGACATCCTCCTGTCAGGAGGTTTGTGCCCACTACAGCCAGCATGAGTGCCATAACATGCTGTTAGATGCATCTCCAAAAGCACTCCTGGAGCAGTTTATTCTGCATCTCCCTTGTCGCTCACCAGTGCCCCTGGAGCAGGGCATAGCAAGCTTCCTTTGGTTTGGCAAGGGTGTTAGCAGGCATGGCAGAGGAGCAACTGGAGAGGCACTGGTGTGCGCTACAGGGCAGTCAGGAAAGTTCTTGGAAAAGCTTAAATTTACCTATTGTAGACTGAAAGCCCAACAAAACCTTCTGTGAAGCCATATCTGCTGCAGTTACTATACCGTGCTCTTGAGCTCCTGAGGTGCATGTGGGAGGATGTGGCTGGCAGAGTGGGATGGCTGCTGACAGCGTGGCAGCTCCTCCTGGCCGACAAATATGGGAAGCAGAGAAGCAAGCCAGGGCCGGGAGAGTCTGAAGGGAGCACTTAGAGCAGCACAGTGCTGGAAGGACAGCTGTTCTGGGTCTACTTCATGCTGCTTTTGATGCTCCGGAGGAGGAACGGCTTTGGGTTCAGTTATTCATACCACACGCTGCCGTAGGCAAGAGAACGAACTGTGTTACTCACCAGTTCTTCATCAGGGACAGGTATGTTTTGTCCTTGCCCTTATTTCCGAAGCCGTTTTAATAAGCCTAGATATCCTCCTCGTTATGTTGAGCTGATATAAACGGGCACAACTTCATTTAAACGCACTAGCCATGAGTTTGGCTTACAGGGTATAATCTTTTTTCCAGCGTAAGCATCTTGGACCCGCATATATCTTTGCTCCTAATCTCTTGATGATGAGTGGAAAGAAGAACGGAAGGTGGGCTTAAACCAGGAATGTGCATGGGAACACTCTGCGAATAGCACGATCTGGGCTCTAATTTCTGGTGCGAAGTAGGAGGCCGCTTCAACAACAATCCAGAACCTTGAACAGTGAAGTCCTGCAGTCTGATTTCCATTTTGGCATGTGGGACGTATTAAGGCCCAGGTTTTTCATGGCACTTTCTATTTTCAGTTTTTGACTTAGAGAATTTGAAGAATACTTGTCTTGAGGTTCAGCCTGAAGTTATAATCTTGGCATATCCATACCATAAAATTTCCATGGATAAAAGCAGAAACATCTGGATTCATGAGTGGCTGTTGGCTAAATCCACCCGGAAAAAAGTCTTGAAGGGATCCTAGACAGGTCCAGCCAGAATAAATAATACAACAAAATAAGAGTGCTATTAAGAGTAATTGTAATACTGAAGCTGAATTACAAGATGAGGGCCAAGCCCTTTTCACAATTTGCTTCTCCAGCTAAGAGGCCTTCAATTTACACTTGACGCACATGTGGCTGATGGAACAAAGAAAAATTTGAAGACGGATGAAAGCAAGGCAGAGATTATTCAGCCTTGCTGGGTTAGCTCCAGGCATGTTATTTAAATGAGTAGATGATCAGTTTCCAGTTTGTTTTAAATTCCCTGGCAAGAAGTTTTACTCTCTATCCCAAAGTTGGATGTGCTTAAAACTTTTTTTTTAAGGCTCTGCCATTTTGTTTTATTTCTTAAGGCAAGACTTTGAAAAGGCTCTGCAAGTCACCTGAGCCTGCGCGGCAGGAAGAGGTGTCCTGTTGCTGGAGGCCAGGGCTGTAGGAACAGCCCAGCTTGCATGACTTGGAGCAGAGCTTGGGCTGTGACCCTGGAGCCTGGGAAGTGAAGGCTGCTGCTTTCTTTCCTCATCTGCTTCCTGGGTGGTGTGTCCTGCTGTGGCAGTGGCAAGCCCGGCCTGGCTGCGCCAGACTTTAAACCCAAACTCAGCAGCACCCCAAAGATGAGGGAAGGGGCCAAGCACCTGTGCACTGGCTCTCGCTCCATCACTGTGTCCCACAGCCTTGCCCTCTGTGCAGCTGTGCCCCTGCTGTCGCAATGCTGTCTTCGTGGCCTGGGGCAGCACTTGCTCCCCACTGGCTCCTGTGTCTCTTGACCCTTCTGTGACTGCCAGCGCTTCTCTGTTGGCACCAGCCTTTGCCCCACGGGCCTCTTCCCTTCTGCTCTGATCTGTGCGCTGCCACCCAGCTGCTTCCAGCTCCTCACTCATCTCCTCGGCAGACCTGGTGTGGTGCCCCTTGATCATGAGGCTGCTACCAGCACCAGGTTGCACAAAGTATCTTCCAGGTGCCCTGATGTGATGGTGCGTGCTGCCACCCACAGCTAAAGTATTCCAAAAAAGAAAAAAGTAGTACTTTGCTGAGAATGCCCTTTACACACTATTCTTCATTAATAGATTTATTATTTCTCATTAATTATTGTTTCTCAGAGTTCTCTCAGCTCTGTGCAGCTCTGCCTTACTCGCTGTTGTTTACCTTTCACTTTACGCTCTCGGCTTCCCAGAAAGCCTCTGACACTTGGCTGCCCCATGCTCTTCAGCTCAGCTAGGGGTGGGTTCCTCCCTCATGGGGTAGGAAGCCCATCAGTCTGTCCTCGTCCTGTCCTTCGTGCACGTTGTTCTTGTCTCCCCTGTTGCCTGTACCACAACCCAGCTTGCTGAAGAGGTTGAATAGCTCCTGAGGGAGCTCACCTGCTCTGGGAGGTCCTCCTCCAAAGGGATGCATCCTGTGACGTGCCACCCATGCTCCACATTCCCTGAAAATCACCACCAGGCTGTGAATGGTAGGATACGTGTTTGGGACCAGACCATAACTGAAATATGACTGGAAATACCAGTGGTGCATGAATGGTGATATTTACACTGCTTTATATTCCCTGCAAGGACTAACCTTGATTACCCTGCAGTGACTATGAGTTCTATTCGCCTTAAAATAGCCTCAACGCACCTAAGAAACCCATCAGAAGCATGCCTCAATGTTTCTTACGAGATTATTTTCAGCAGATTTTGTTATTTAATTTGTTGCCAACATCTGTCATTTCCACCACTGCGTATTCCCCAGCAGCCACAGTGTGGGTTTGAACACGGAGCTGAATAATGTGCTGCTCGCTGCTCTCGGTGAGACCAAACACCAAAATCCAGTAGGCTGCCTTCTATTATCATGGCATAGTATCTTGACCATCAAGCTGAAATGAGGAAATGAATCTGTTCATCAATGTAACCAAATATTTGTTTTAGATGAGCTGCTGTCACTGTCCAGGCTTGGAGTTGTACTCTTCCATCCAACTTTAAACTGAAGGCAGCAGGGAGTTCTGCTGAAACAGCACGACTCTTGGTTAGGAACAAATAGTCCGAGAAGCTGAGGAATGAGAAACGAAGCAAAGCTAAATTTAGAAACTCAGGTAAAAAAATAACTAAATCTTCAGTGCTCTGTGGTTTTATTTCGCTCTACAGAGAGCGCACCTTGGTTTTGCATGTCTGTTTGCAGATTGTACCTACTCAGAGAAGGCTTTTGCTCATGAAAAAAAAAGGCTTTGATGTCTTGCGTAAACAAATAGCAGTGTAAAAAGATCTTTAGTTCTTGTTAGCGTGCTGCAAACAGCTATGTTTGAAGAAAAATAAACATCCCAAGGTTGATGGAAGGTTAGGAAAGAGGTGTTCACTTTGCCATGAAATAGTGTGGTCAAATCTTTGGCACGAGCGCTTCAGGAATGCTAGAAATGAAGATGCCATGGAAAATCTTTTCCTTTACTTTCTCCCTTTTCTCTCTTTTTAATCCTTTTGGATTAATAAAAACACAAACTGGTACATGGTTTCCCCAACCATGCAACAGGAATAGATCTAAATCCATGCCATCCAAACCACAAAAATGTTATCAAGTCCACTGGAAAACCTAGGGTAATAGTTCCCTGGAGATCTGCCCCCACTTTCACCACCCAGGAGGGGAGAAGACTCACCCTTCCTCTAGCTCAGCTTCCCTTTCCTCAGCATGCCGCCAGGCCGCTGTGGGGCCAGCCAGCATCTCCTAACCCTTGCAGCTGCAGGACTTTGTCACAAAAATTCAGACCAGCTTTTACGTTGTGCAACCAGCCGGTTTCCGTGAGGAGGGACCGGGCATACATCATGTTTTAAGTGAGGATAAAGTTTTCACAGACATGTGTCTACCTGGACTTTCACTCTTTGAAGCTTGTTGTGCTTCTCCTGTTGCATCATTTAAAACAGTAAATGGAAAAACTTAGGAAATGAACCAAAGAAAAGAGCTAAACTATGATCACAATTATACCAGCACAACCCTGGGGATGTTGATTTACAGGTACGCTGCTTTAACTGAATCCAAATTTGGTTCAGAATTGGAAAGTTTTGGTTTTCTTAGTAAAGGAAAATTAAAAATCAGCATGTCATGATAATAATCAATCCACCCGTGTTTGCTGCAAATCTAATTCTTATCAAGAACCTCCAGGGAGTTTCTCAGTGCAGTTTTATGCAATTCCAATGATTTCTCTTTTTAAAAAGAGTTCATAGGAGCTAGGAAATAAATAATTCAGACATAGTTCTTTTTTTTCTTAAATCTCAGTAACACAGCTAACGTTTTTCCTTTGATAACACCTTTGCTCTGCCTACCAAAGCTCCACTCCAAATGGGACTGGCGAGACAAACGCTCCATCCGGCAAACCAAGGCTTATAAGAAAAAACAGGGAAGAAAGCACAAATTCCAGAAAAAATGCTTATAATCCCAAAGGTAATAAGTATCCCTCCGGTAACTTCATACAAGCTCTTCATTTTCCCTGAGCGTGCGCCTCTCTGCTGGATTCACAGCAAGGATTTGTAGCTAAAGCCTAGGCAAAGACATTTCATAATAAACAGAAGCTCCTTGGAGACCGTAGCCATGGCATGAGAGAGCTGTTTACCTGGCACGATGGAGCACTATTCTGTTTATCTTTGGCTAGTCCTGCAGAAACAGAAGGTATTACAGGGGAGTAAATAAGGCCCCAGCACCCCAAGGAATAGGTTTTTTTTTTTTTTTTTTTTTTCGGGGTGTCGTTCCCCTTCCCCTTCTGCTGGGGGAA